ACCTGCTCCCTTCCCTGGCAGTCCTCCCCGTCCTGGCTCCTCCAGGTCTGTGTACCTCCTCCCTTCCCTGGCAGTCCTCCCTGTCCTGGGCTCCCGCAGGTCTGTGCACCTGCTCCGTGCCCTGGCTGTCCTCCCCGTCCTCTGTCCTGGTCTCCAAATCCTGCTCGGCCTGATCAGGACTGAAGAGAACCCTGTTTCTCCATGTTCCGTGTATTTTGGGACAGTGCCTCCAGACTATCTTTTCATCTCTCTGTGCAGTGTCCAAATGGCAGCTCACTGATATGGGGCTGTTTCTTCAAATTCCGCTCCAGAGATAGAAACGTGATATAAATTTAGTCATTTGTCTTCCATCCCAGCAGCACTCTCAGGTACCGTTAAAATTCTGTTCTGGTTTTTGCTGCGACAGCCCCAGAGACCCCTTTCTGACAGAGAGCGGAGGTTTTACTTTCCTTTTTCAGACATCAGCTCTTTTTCTAGAGACTGTATTGTGTGTTAACAATACAAGGTAAAGTGAATATTAATAATCCTTTCTGTAGCTCTGTATAGCTCTCAGGTGCTGCTATATCCATCAGCTCCCTCAATTTGATCTCTGCATCAGCCCTGGGATTTGGGGGAGAGGGGGCAGGTGGAGAAAGATGCTCTTGGAAATTTTTATAGATAAAAATGGAGGCCTGGCTGACTTGCTCACACTCACGTGGGTAACGCATAACAGAACTGTATTAACTGAGCCAAGGGTCTTTGGTTGCAAGCAACAGAGGCGAATTTAGCTGAAACAGGCAAGAAAGAGCCCACTGTGTCAAAGGAATCGACCTGAGAAAGGATAGAAATCCCAATGGCTCCAGGGTCCCGGGGATAAAGAAGAGTATCCTTTCAGGGCACTTGGGTCCGTGGCTCCATCCACTTCCTGTCCCTGAATCTCAGGCTTGAGATTCACGTTTTTCTGCTCCTGGGAGTGAGGATCTGGTTGGCCTACTTAGATCGTGGGAGGATGGGGCCCCCGTGATGGTACCCCAAAACGATGGGGAGGAGGGGACTTCACAAGCGGAGATGGGGAGCTCTTATAGGAGATGAGGAACAACGCCCATCCCAGCGGGTGCTCCTGGAGCCCAAGCTCTCATGACCCGGGAAGGGCTGGCTTCCTCTCGCTGGTGTGCACCCTCCTCCGTCCCTCCCCACTGGCCACATGTTCTATTATGTCTGCACTTGTTCCATTTTTCTTTCTCTGCTGACAGACCTCCTGGCCTTACTCATTTACTTCAAAATGCCAGACTCAGCCTCCAAGTGCTTGCCCCTGAATAACCCAGGATCTCAGTGCTTCAGTTCCCATTTTCCAGGAGAGACACCCTGGTGGTTCCAGCTCCCCTGGTCTAATTGGCTGACAGTTTGTGTGGTGAAAGGAATCGTGGGCCTGGGAGGAGGTTGACATGATAGATGGGGATGCTTCTTCCAGGACCCAAGGACAGAAAGTGCAGTGCAGCCTCATGGAAACTCAGAATGGAGAGTGTGAATTTATATATATTCATCACTCCAGCTTCCTGTGGCCCCAAATGACCACCCTGGGCTATCCTATGCCTTTCCAGTTTGAGCCCCTCCGCTAACCAGGTCAGCCTCTGGGTTTTCCCAACTCCCGATTCTTAGAAAAGCACCTATGTTCTCTTCTCCAGCTGGTCAGCCCGTGGGTGGGCGACTGGCATCTTTACCTCCGTGTCACAGGGGAATGGAGTCCTGGAGGGTGAGAAGCCCTTCTTAACCCTGTGTTTCCCATTGCGGGGCAGGTCAAGGCCCTCCTGGAAGAAATCCTCGAGCGAGTGACAGAGGAGTTCAACATGCCAGAGCTGCTGGCCAAAGTGGAGGAGCGCACCCCCTACGTTGTCGTCACCTTCCAGGAGTGCGAGCGGATGAACGTCCTCACCAGGGAGATCCGGCACTCGCTGAGGGAGCTGGACCTCGGCTTAAAGGTAAGGGGTGGGGGGTCTTGGTGGGAAGGGGCATGGCCAGAGGACACAGCTGGACCCCCTGGGGGAGAGAGGGAGGAGGGGGTACCGGGGACCTGGGAGCTGGAGAGTTGTCCTAGAGCAATCCGAATGCCCGAGAAGGCATCACTCCCAGAAAGTGGGAGCGGCCGGGCTACGGGGAGGCTGAGACCCAAAGTTCTATAAAGTCTGAAGCCGTACTGAAGTTAGAAGTCAGCATATGCGAGCTGCCCGAGAAGACCACACTCTGAGGAGCAAGCTAGACGAAAATTTTGACAGCCTGGTGTCTTCTACCGACATAGTTGCTTTCTTGGGGGGGGCAGAGGAGCACTGGAAAAAAAGTAGAGGTTCTAGAACTAGACGGCCCCGGGGTCACTTCCTCGCTCGCGGCCTTAAAGTGGCTTAGATCTCACTGTGTCTCAGCTTCTTCACCTGTAAGAGGGATGATGGTCCGACTTCATAAGGCTTTGGGGAAGGATGAAATAAATTCATTTACATCGAATGTTTAGAACAATCCTTAGTGTGTAGTAAATACCCCCAAAGTATTAGCTGATAATTATTATCGCCTCATCAAAGAAAAGGATGGTCATCTTTTTACAACACCAAGGTTGTAGGAAAGATCCAAGATACTGCACAAACTCTGCATTTCTCTTGAGCAATGGAAGAGTCTGTTTCTACCCCCAGTTACTTAAACACGTTTACCTGATGTGCCAGGAGGTAATTACGTCAGGGGCCTGGCCCGGACCCTCACAGAGAGCACCTCTGTGACAGGCACACGGGGGGTCCTGCTGCCTCTCAGGGGCTGAGGAAGGGGACTGTTGTCAGCATACAGAGGCATGTTCATTAACAGAACCGCAGCCCCAGACAGAGGGAAGGTGAGAACCCAGTTTTGTAGCTCGGAGTTACGTGTGCGCGGGAGAAACAACTGTGTGTTTTGTCACAAGTAGTCACCTAGAAACTGTGGCACAAGACTGCAAATTCTACGTGAGTGGGCCTTTTTTTTTTTTAATCTGTTAATTTTCTCCTCCCTCGTATACATGGAGGGAAGTAAGGAGAAAGGACAGAAAGGGATGGGGAAGAGAGTATTTGGTAATGTTTCCAAATTACGGGCCAGCCTGTAATCAAATGAAATACAACCTTCCATAGGACGATCTCAAATGTAAAGAAGGACTTGGCGGGTCACATTATGCAGCTCTATTACCGCGGTAAGCAGGTGTCCACTAGTAATGACCTCGAGCAGGTTTGCTGCACTCTCAGCTTATGGAGTCCATGCACTTGGCACAGTCTATTTACCCATCCGCCTTCCAATTCGTGCATTTTTCGTCCAAGAGCCGCGGCCGTGGTCGGGTGGCGTGAATCGTGAGCATGCCTGGGCGCAGATGAAGGGGGCCCCAGGCGAGGAAGTGTCTCTTTGCTCTCAGTCTAGTTCAAGAAAAGCTGACCACGAGCAGCTCAGGCAGGTCTGAGCACTCCCCGCTGGAGGGCGCAGGGAGATGGAGGGGGGAAAGGCTTCTCCAGGAGGAGGCCTTGGAAGAACGAGCAGGCAGGCAGATCATAACACAGGGCACACAGAGAGATGTGGGAAAAGAAAGAAAAAAAACAAGTCTGTGGCATCAGGGGAGGCACCAGCGGAGAAAGGGTGGGAGTACAACAGCGGGGACAAGGAGAAGAATCTTCCAAACATGCCAGCAGAGGAGCCCTAACCCTGCTCTGAGTCACCTGCTTTGGCCAGAGCAGAGGGTCCACTCAGGTGAGTGGACAGGCAGTCAGGACAGCTGTGGCTTGCCTTTCTCTCCTGGTCCCTCTGGGAGCTGGAGAACAGGCATTTTAAAATGCTGTCATCTAAACCCAGTCTCGTGGCCTGGCCGTTGGGCCCCCCCGGGGGATTTCTCACAGCACACGTCCCAGTCCCACCTCTGCAGCTACGTTTTAAGCAGTGGCCAGGTGATTCTGGTGATGGGCCGTTTGTGAAGCACAGTGTTAAGACAAGCAGGTGGAGGGAAAAGATGGGAAAAGGAGCGTACGAGGGGGACGGCAGCCGAGTTCAGGGAAGGGAGGGTGTTTAAGTCTAGGGGAGAGAGAAAGGAAAGGCAGCAGAGACGGGAGTGACCTGAGCGGGAGGGTCCACAGGATGGCCCCACTGCGCAGTGTCTGACACATTCAGACTGAGGTTCTCCTGAACAGTCACTTTCAAGTTCCAGGAGTGCGTCAGGTGGTGCACAAGGGGACTCACGCTACCCAGCACATCAGACAGGCAAACCCAAACACTCTGCCCAGACAGGGCACCAAAGTCAGGAGAGGTCTAACTAACTTCTTTTTAAAATCATGAAGTCAATACTCTTAGCATTTATGATAAACTTTTATTTGTATCCAGTCATAATTGGCTGGATGGGAAACCGTAAGGCTACCACCCACAAAGTATCAGCTGAACTGAGAGGCACAGTAATGCTAAGCTCAAGGACTGTAGGAGCTCAAAGCGCACAAAAGTGGTAGAGGAAGATAGGGTAGGCACCGAAGAGAGGTCAATTCATCATAACCATGTTCCCACAGAGAAATTTACCACAGTAAGACATCTGGCTCCTAGTCTTACACAATGAAGACAGGTTCTGTGAGTATCCAAGCTGACTGGTCAAAGGTACTGACTCCCACTAACCAAATGCACAAAAGCCTGATGTACAACACTCCTAAAGGCCACTTTCTTTCTCTATATTAACTAGGTATATATATATATATTAACTAGGTTTATAACCTTCAAAGGGCCATATACTGATGGCAGTGGGCCCAGAAAATCCTCTGCCTAGGTAGATAAATTCTAGGAGAAGCTAAATTCCTAGACCTTCACTGTCTACAGTAGCGGCCAACGATAGGTTAGCACTTAAAATGTGACTAGTCCAAATTGAGATGTTCTGTAAGCATAAATTAAACACCATATTTAGGAAAGAGGCTGGGAAGATGGTGGAGTAGGAGGACCCTAAGCTCACCTCGCCCACAGATACAACAAGGTAACACATCATTGTAACTAACCCAGAAAATGACTGGCAGAACCGACTCCACAACTAGAGGTAAAGAGGCCACAGCAAAGAGGGTGGGAAGGGTGAAGACACAGTGGGGAGCTACAGCAACCGCGGCCGTCCATGGGAGGCAGGCAGCTACGGACACAGAAGGGGAGAAACAGACCATCACACAAGGGAGCCCTCACAGGGAGGACAAATCCCCATAACACCTGGCTCTGAAAACCAGAGAAGCCAAATTACATGAGTTCGTATGACCAGTGTGACTTAACACCTGGAATTGTACCGATCAGCAGGCTCAGCTCTGGGAGAGCCAGAGGCCAAGAGGAACCTGAGTCCCCGCCCTCAAGGAGGCAGCACAATGAATGAAGGGTCTGTGCAGATACAACAAACATAGAGCAGCGGTTTGAAAAATGCCTGGGGCATAGGGGAGGGAGAGTTATTTACTGATCTCAGAGCAAGTCTGCAGGGGCAGAGATGCTAGGGAAACTCCTCCAGGAACAAACAAAGGAGTTGCCAGGAGCCATTTCCCTTCCCCTGCCCTCCAGCGTAACCACACCACCACCTGTGGGAACCACATGCTTCCACTGCGCCCCATGCCTCCAGCCTGATGCTGTGGGTTCCCTCCTCCAGAAGCCCAGTGCAAACCTTGCTAAGACCACATCCTCCCCAGCTCACACACTTTGCAGATCCACCCCCTCCAACCCAGCTGGCCTCAATCCCCAGGGCAGCGGCAGGTCCCCTCCCTAGAGAACCAACGCACAAACCTTGCCAGTGCTGCACACCCCGCACGCGTCACGGATCTGCCCCCCTCCATACACTCCGGGCCAGAGCCCATCCGAAGTGGTACCTCAAAGCTCGCGGTGTGCAGGCAGCTCCGTGTCTGGGCCAGCACCGTTCAAAAGTGACTTCTGTCTTGGGGGGTGGGGGCTGGGGGGGAAACAACCACACACACAGACACACCACACGCGCGCGCGCGCGCGCACCAGCCAGACGGCAGCCCCACCCAGCAATGAAAGCTGCTCAGGGGACAACACAGGAAAAACGCCCTGCAGTTTGCTGCCACTGCATCTCTGGCAAACTGAGTCTGACTCAACTCAAACCCACGGGGCCCCAGACTGGCCCACTAACAGGACATGGACCAAACCCTGCCCACAACAGGTGAAGAAAGCCACTGCAGACGACTGGACTGAAGGAAAGAGTGGCTCAGCCCCAACAGGAAGGCACACGTGTCACACAGGAGACACCCCTGAAGCGCTAGGTTCCGGCAAACAGGGCACTATTTTCAAAAGCAGGAGATGCAGCTGACATTCCTAACACCGAGAAACAGACACAAACAGATAAAATGAAGACACAGAGGACTATGTCCCAAATGAAAGAACAGGACAAAACCACAGCAAGAGACCTAAGCGAAACGGATACAAGTCATATGCCTGATAGAGAATTTAAAGTAATGATCAAAGATACTCACTGGACTTGAGAAAAAAATGGAGGACATCAGTGAGACCCTTACCGATAAGATAAAAAAGAACTAATCAGAGATGAAGAACACAATAAATGACATTAAAAATACCCTAGAGGGAATAAATAGCAGGAGGGAAGAAGTAGAGGAATGAATTAATGAACCAGAACACAGGGTAACGGAAAGTCATCGAGCTGAGCAGGTGAGAGAAAAAAATTACGCAAAATGTGAAAAGACTTAGGGAATTCAGCGACACCATCAAGCATAATAACATTCAAGAAGGTAGGGCTCCCAAAAGGAGGAGAGAGAGAAAAGGGGGCAGAAAAATTATTTGAAGAAATAATAGCTGAAAACTTTCTGAATCTGGGGAAGAAAACAGAAATTCCAACAAAATCAACCCAAGAAGGTCCACACCAAGACACACAACAAAAAGTAGTGATAAAGAGAATTTTTAAAGCAGCAAAAAAAAGAAGTTATATATAAGGGAAACCCCATAAGGCTATGAGTGGATT